AGGCTAAGCCCATCAATATAGACATATTAATTCAATACCATCCAAAGAGGTCAATATGTCTAATTAGTAAATACAAATTATTGTTTCAGATGACTTACTTATTAGGCGGGTCACTTTGTCATATTATTTTAACAAAATTGTATACTATGTCAAAATATTATATTTTCTATTTATATTATTTTTTAAATATAACAATAAAGGCTCCACCAGATGGGGTGGGGTGGTTAAAATTAACTCGGATGGCTCTTTTATTCGGTCCACAGGTATGACCTCGGCGGGAGGTCTTGTGCGACATGATGGAGGCCAGTGGCTCGGAGGCTTCGTCATGAATATTGGCTATACTACTATTACGGACGCCGAGTTATATTTATTCCAAGGACTCCATCTAGCTTGGGATTTGGGGCATCGAAACGTTGTCGTGGATGTGGATAACCGAAGTGTAGTCAACATGGTCACGGGGACCTCAATGGAGAGTTGGGGGGTGCACGACCCGATAGTTAGAGCTATTCGAGAGATGGTGCGTCGAGTTGTGCATTGTTATCGTGAAGCTAATTTTGCTGCGGACTGCTTGGCGACGCTAGCCCACACATGTCCCAATGGTTATCAGCGACTGCTCGATCCGCCGACAGAAGTCAAACCTTGCCTAACGCATGACATCTTTAGTGTGCGTATCAACGGAACACGACTATCTAGAGGTGTTAGTTCCGTCCATATAGCAATAAAATGGAGGGGCTAAAGTGCAATTTTTACCCTCTAACACAGCTGCAAATCATTTATGAAGTGAAAGCTGATAAATTGTTTGGAAATGCTATTTGCACAATAGGGTTTCTACAATGACTTTGACAATTCCAAGTCAATTACTCTTTTGCCCTTATTTGATAAGAATATAAAATGAATTATAATCTTACGGATATAAAACGGGATATGGAAATCCTGAAAAAACAGATAGAAGAATTATTTAAATTTGTTCAACAGCAGTCTAAAGATTCTAAACAAGATTTAGAACCTATAGCAGCTAAAATAATCAATGACATTAAACAAGAAATTGCTGAATGTCCTTGTAAAAAAGAAAATAAAAAACAGAAAGAAATTTCTAGCCAAGAAAATAATATACCTTTTCTAAAATATTCATATCCTAATGATTCAGTAGGAAATGAAGAATTAGGAAGTTTAGGAAATCCTAACGCTTTTAAATGGCCAAAAGATGCTTTGAAAAAATGAATCTTCAAGAAAAACTTGAGAAAAATCTTTGGAACCTAATTAATTTAGATTTGGATGATAAACAAGCCATTCAGCTTGAACATACAATTCGTTTTTTAGAAATGAATGAAGAACAATGTAATTCAGATTTGGAATCAAATCTTGAAATGAAAAAGTTGTTAAAACTTGAAGAACATGAACAATTTTATCAAATTGAGGAAACTGAAACTGACACTCAGTCAGAATCAGAAATAAATTTCAAAGATGAAGAAGAACTTCTAAAGGAAAATTTTAGAATGGAAAAACCAGAATCATCTGGAACCAAAGATGATCAAGAAATGAATACTGAAGAATTCGAAAGAAAACCATCAATAATTCCTAGACCACCTAGATCTTCTAACAACAATGCCGGTATCCCTGGTATTGCTGGAGAAGTTCAGACAGCTTCAATCCTAGATTTAGACTGTAAAAAACCTGAAACAATTAAAAAATTAATTGATAAATGGGGACTAAAAATGAGTCTTGTGATTAATCTCAATCCAAGTACTTTTAATACAGCACAACTTGTGTTAGCACTTGCTGAGCATAGAATGCTTGGAAATGCACAAAATTTTATAAAAAGAGTTCAATGGGATACTCAAAATGTAAACCCTGCAGTTATGCTTGAAAGCATTCTGAACAGTCTTTATACTTTGTTTTTGGGCATTGATCGAGTATCGAATGCAGAAAATGAAAAACTATAGAGCAATCTAAAGCTAAGGCAAGATTAAATAATTTGACTATTTGCGATATTTGTTACATTGAGGAATTCAATTGTGATTTTGAAAAGAATCTTTTCAAAATAGATTTTGGAGAACATCCTGAATACATTATAATGTATTTAGCAAAAATTCCTATTGTAGGA